CCCCAACCCTCACCCTACCCCTAGCCGTCGGCCACAACTCCTCTCCCCTTACCTCCAAATTTCAAACTACAACATTAATGCTTTCCATATTGGATGCAAACCACAATAGGAAAATATTAAAATATGGTTTTTGTCATTTGAAATTTGAAATTTCTTTCCTAAACTACTATTATTTATTTTAGGAAAGTTCCTTAAATAAAGTCTATTTGAATTTTAAATATGATTTGATTTAAAACAATCTTTCCAAATTCAAGATTCTAAATAGGGCAAGCTTTAAATCCCCACCTATAAGCCCCACTCCCCCATTGCATGCCGACAGCCCCACTTTCCCCCTCTCTCTCCTACATTAAGTCCTTTTCCCCTTTGAGGCCCTAATCAACTCCCACGTCAAAGGAGCGCCCTTCCTTTCCCTCTATGTATTTGAAATTCAAATTTCACAACGTCCATTTCCTTCCCATCAAATCTGAAATTAAACTTCATATTTTGGAAGTTTAACTCCCCTCCCTAGTCTTGGCCGACTACCTAACCTCTCCCTCCATCTCTTGTCCTTGGCTCGATATGTCACCAAAAGAAAAAGGAAAGAAAAAGCAACACCTTTCCCTCTCCAACTGATGTAGAACGGGTAGAGAAGTAGTTGCAAGAACGAACTCCAAACTTCCTTCCAAAAATCTGAAATTGCCCTTCTCAAAAATCTGAAATAAATCGGGATTTATCTCAAAAATCTGAGAGGAAAACTCAGTTTTGACGTGTAGGGAAGAAGGTCTTGAAGGAGTAAGAGGTGAGGAATTTAGATCCACTAGAGCACTAACGGTGGAGAGGGGATTTGAGAGACAGATATGGCTAGGGAGGGGCGGGTGAGAAAAAAAGGGAAAATCAGGGAATTGATTTCCTAAAATCAATTTCCTAGATTAGGAAATTAATTTTAGAAATATGAGGGAGGGAAATTCGGCTAAGTGGAATAGGGGAGATTTAAAAATATTTCCTAAAGCCAAGAGGGGAGATTAGGAAGTATTTTATTAAATCCAGCTAATGGGGGCAAGGTGGGGCCGGCGGCATCCAAGGGGAGAGAAGAGGGAATTAATGTCTTAAATCTGAATTTAAATTCAGATTTGAGAATTAATGACGATTGGCTTAAATGGTGGGAGAGATTAATGGTGTGAATAATGCTAATTCGAATTCAAATTTTGGAATTCAAATTTGCGTTAATGAAGAGCTCTTCCATAATAGGAAACTAATTGATTACAAGGGAAGGATTAAGGGAGGACGGAGGGATTTTTGAATTCAAAATTCTGAGATTTTATTTCAGAATTAATGACATCATTAAATGCCTAATTATTAAGAATGAATTAAGCAATAAATAAATTTGAATTCAAATTTGAATTTTGAATTCAAATCCTTCGTTAACTTAATCCCTCCAATTTAGGAAAGGCAATTAATAATTGGAGCAAAAGTGGGGGTTCTCGGTTGGGTTAATGGAGGGGTTGTTAAAACTGGCGGTTCAATGGGAAGGAGGAAGGGGCCGATGGCGGTGGAAGGAGGAGATGGGGATGTCGACAAGGAGAAAATGAAAAGATAACGAAAAGAATAAAACCATGAACCCGGCCGTCTCCAAAGTTGGTGGGTGATACAATTGCCCTTCTCCAAGGGACTCAAATCACGAGCCCGGACCCATCCTGCGACTGGTGGCAACTTCGATTCCTCTCATAGGAATCTCACTAACGCTCTCTCACAAGAAGAACACAAGTGTCGAAAAATAAAATTTTTTCATATCCATTAATCCTCCATTACAATAGCTTAAGGCCCTTATTTATAGGCCATAACATGAGAAAATAGAAAATTACAAAAATGCCCCTTGGGCCATAACACTCAAATAAACTAAGCTAAAACATAAAATAATAGCTAAAATTCATAAAATAAATCTTAAATAACAATTTAAATTAGAGTCATCGATTTACGACGCCTCCTGTGATAGATGCACCAGATCTTCGTGTCGATGTCCGCATCATTCTCCCCAGGTGGGAGAATACTCGACTCCGTCAAGTTAGCATCACATGTAGAAAGGAAGATCACAATCTTCTGGGAACCAGTTTTTTTAAACAAACTCCTAAGAATGGAAAGAAGCAACACCATCCTCGAACCCCAGGACACTTTTACATATTTCTGAATTAATTGGACAGGAAGGTTGTATTTTTCTGCTGCCTGGCTTCGTAATGGGCTATGATGTTCTAAGTTACCATCGCTGTCAGAATCTAAAGATAATAGTCGTTTCACGGTATTATTTGTTGTCATGAATAAAGTTTTGTTGTCATCCAGACCAATCATTACAGGATTTAGTAAGCTGATGTTAGCCAAATGATTGACCTTTTCATTCAAGGTTGCTGAGAGAAGTAAAGTTTGTCTTGAACTTTCGTTAGGCTTGATCCTCTTATTCTCTTGGCCAGTAGCCATATTTTGTCTAGAACCCACTTTCCATGCTTTTTGAACGCAGTCTGCCACGGACTGATGGCCCTGAGGCTTGTTGAGTTGTGCTCTGATTGCAAACTTTCAAGCCGCATTTTACAATTTACCATAGTCGCAGCATGATTAAGTGTTGCACATTATGTAATGAGGATTGTAATAATATAAGATATACGATAATTAGCAATGTAAATCGATTTATCCCCCGATATTGAGTACCCACTCATACCCACTCACAAGACCATACCCATACCCACCCATACCATTGGGTATGGGTGGGTACATGACTGGGTGTGGGTGTGGGTATCCAATGCAAGACTCTGGTCCAAACCATTAGGAGGGATAGTCAAAGGAGTTTGAGTGAATTCATAATGGATTTGATGCTTAAATCAGTGGAAACAAGGTTTATGGTTGATCTGGTCAATTATGGTTGACTTCGTCAACCAGGTCAAACCAAGGGTTGGGATTAGACTCAACTAATTTGATTTGATCGATAGAGACTAATGGAGATGGTCCCAAGCACCAGAAGATTCATTTCAGTCAAAACAACCATTTGGACCACTAAGGTGTCATTTGTCAATCAGGGTTGACTTGGCCAACCAGGTCAGACCAAGGTTTAAGTTTAGGTCGAATGCACTCCTAATGATGTTTAGGAAGCATTGGAGTAGGTTGCAATATTTGATTTGACAGGGTCATGTTGAGTTTTGGGGAAAAGTCCAATTTTGCCCTTAAAGTGCATTTTTATCATTTTAACCCCTAGTCAACTCTGGGTTAAATTGGAGCCAACAAAATGCAGTGTACAGATCCATATGTCATAACAGAGGCTATAGACATGGTCAAAGATCTTGGGAAGGGTGTCAAGGTCAAAATCCACAAGATAGAGGATCTAGTGGTATAGGCAGTAAATATTTGAAGGTTTCACAGCCTTTGAAAATCAATTCAGTTACTGGGGTTATAAATGTCAGAATGAGCTCAAATTTGGAGGGTTAACCCTAGGGATATGCCTGATCAATATGCAACTGGTAGATCATGAATCGGATGTCATTTGATTGGATTTCAAGATGACTAAAAAATCATGCATAAGGGTTTCAGAACCTAGGCCTTTAATCCTAAGATTTGGTTTGGAATTCTGAATTTCAACTGGACTTGAGTTTGAATTACCCACATCAATCACAGTCATATAAATGCTTGAGATTGATTGGATAGGATTGACGCTTGATTGAAGGCTGGATTGAAGTCTGGAATTAAAGGATGGGGTTGAAGTTTGGGTTGAGGATTGGATTGAAATTTGATTGGGACCTATATGGTTGATAAGTGGACACTTGTTAATCATCAGGTCACCAAGAAGGAATGTAGGTAGGTCCTGATGACCTCATACAAAAATAAGATCAACACCTTCCTAATTAATCACTTCCTTAATTTCTCTTCTCACGTATGTAATGATAGGTTTAATGGGTCCCACAAGGAGGGTCGAATTCCTTGCCCTGTCTGTCTCCTGCTGGTCCCACCTACCCTCTCCCATATCAGGGACATGCTGCAAAGATAATGAAAAGGATGATCATAAACTAGCATGAGCGATGAAGCACCTTATCCCTACATTTGGAGAGAGGTTGTAAAAGGTCATTGTTAAGGCTTTGAAATGCAAGTAAAACAAAAGATGCCCCAAACATCTTGGTAAAAGACGACAATAGTTCAATGGTCATCAAATAAAATATAGTAACAGAAATAAAGGATCTAATTCAAATCTTTTTTTTAACCTAAAGCTTACAACCTATTTGAAACCATTTACTTTATTTTTGTTTTTTTTAATACATGTTTGGTGTGTGTCTTCAAATTGTTCTGTTGTAAATAAATCAAATTGTATTAAAAAAAAACTTGAAACAAATTTTAGATACTTCAGAAAAGTTTTCATTTTTTAAATAAAAATCGTGCCCATAAATAGACAGTTGTCACCATTATTGGCCACTGGCCACCCCTAATGGCCATCATGCCACCCACCTGCTACAGCTACAAGCACCACCTGCTGCTGCCACCACAAACAACAATCGTCGTCAACATCACTAGTGGTAGCCACCTAGCATCGTCACCCCGACACCTTGACACATAAATCAACTTTTGTGATATTGAATGAAATAAAAATAACACATATTTAAGACATCAAATATATTTTCATTACAAATCAAAAAGAAAAAAGCCATTTCAATCGACCATGTAACAACGCACAAATTTATGTTTTTTATTTAGCTCAGATATTCTAGAGTTAATAGTTAATTAATAAATGTCAATGCAAATATTAACAAACAAAAAAATCAACAGCATAGTTATGCAAGAAAATATTTGATTTGCAAAGAAAGGAACAGAACAAAATCAACTCACAAATTTATGATTTCTTATTTAGCTAACACATTCTAGAGTTGACGGTTAATTAGTCAATTTCAATGCAGAGCTTATAAAGAAAACAAAAATCAACTGTGCATAGTTATGCAAGAATATCTCTGTTTTATAAAGAAAATCAAGGTAATAGAGTTGTAGAAAAAAGAAACCTGTAAACCAGCTTCCTCCACTCTTCTTTTTGCAAATTTTAGCTGCTCTATAGACAAGGTGACACCAGTATATTTGCATCCTGTTCGCTTCACGGCTTCTAAAGCAAAGCTTCCCCAACCAAAACCAATCTCAAGAACTTCATGCCTTGATTCAATCTTAGCCTAAATGGTTATGAAAAATGAGCATAAAACTTAAAAAAAAAATCTAGATCACTACAAGATGGACTTATGTTGGAGCAAACCTTATCGATTAAAATAGAGAGTTTACGCTTTTGTGCAATTTGTAACTCTTCATTTTCAGTCTATCAAAATTTTCACTTAGGTCAGCTCAACTAAAGCAATCTATGCATAAATGAGTTTGAAATCATTTTGAATTTGCAAAAGCAATTTAAGGAAGATTGGCCCACCTTGAAAACTGCACAGGAGTAAGTCATTGTCTCATCTAAGATTAAAGAGAAAAAATCATTGCTCTGCAGATGAAAGATTGAAAAGGAAATTCAATCAAATTATGCTTTGGAACAGTGATGTAACATAAAAATTACAGAGAGCAAGTAAAATAAAATTATGCGTTTGTAATAAAAGAGATGGAAATTTATATGCAGGTAGAGAAGTGGATCAGTCACAAGGAAAAAAACAGAAAAGCATTTCTTCTTTATCCAAATTCTTCATGAAAAAGGATCATGCTAAAAGAAAATTATGGATAATATTTTATTACGTTAAAATAGAAATCAGATAGATTTTCTTGGACTTCTTAACCTAAAGATAATTATCAACTAGCAAAAGAACAGTTATCAACCTAGAATTAGAACTAACTAAATGTTAAAGAGCACAAAAAATCAAAACATCAGGTTTCCATGGTAGGAGAGATTAGGGGAGAGCGCAATCTTCATGATCAAGCTTATCATTTCATTTTTGTTTTTCAATCCTCTGTATCGGACATACTAAAAATAATTGCCTTTCTTTTGATACTGAATGGTACGAACTCATAGGAAGTTATAAAGGAAACCAATGCATAGCAGTAGAACTATACAAAAGAGTCTACAACCTAGATTAAAAATTGAACAAGAGCAAGCAAATAGGACGTACATGTAGAAATTATGCAAAAAACATATTTTTTTCCTGAACATGATAATCATTCAAAGATGCATCCTTTTAGAAGCAGCTATACTTGTGATTCCTAAATCAGTATATATATGAAGTTATGAACATAAAGTGCAGAGTCCAAATCATGATTCAAATTTGCTAATTGTGCATTGACGGAGTCCATGATTTCATTCCATCCTAAGGATGGTGTGTTCCAAAATAATTATTTTACTCTACAGCATCAATAACACCATGAGCATAAAATTAAGAATTAACATAGGAACATTGTGAATAGCAGTATAAAACTGTGAGCTTATAAAAAAAACAAAGGCAATCTACCAATACTAGTCTAGGATTGGTCAACATTAAGTATGCAATAAAATTCAGAAATTCATAAACGGGAACAACAAATTTAGGGTGAACAAAATTTAGACTCTGCGCTCTTGAAATTAAACCTTCTTTCACAAGGACAATATGCCAGAAAAAGCTGAGCTGGATATGTTAATGCTTTTTCATGCATCTTAGTCAGCCATTGGTGTTTCCAATAACATGGAAAAATGTTGGTATCAATAAATGAAAAATTATTGGCAGCAATATTCATAAATGGGAAAAAGTTCGAAATGATTCCTAAATTATTTATGAAGAATCAAAATGATCGCCAACTATATCAAGAACTATTTTGATCTCTCAAGTCCTTAAAAAATAATCAAAATAGTCTCATGATGGGGCTATTTTGATTCCGCTTTTAAATAGTTGAAGGACCAAAATGATAGTTGGGGACCATTTTTGTCTTTTATAAAGAGTCAATGGACCATTTTGATCCTTTTCTCATTCATAAATCTTATTCAACAATAGTATCTAAATTCTTGTATGTGCTAACTCTTTATACTAAAAATTTATAAAATTTACTATTGTTAAATTCTCTCGTTATTGAAGTTATTCTCTTCTATTATATTTTCCTTCATTTCTAATTCTCTCACTCTTCTAACTTGGTTTCATCCCCTTTCATATCCCCCTATCATCCATATCGACTCTTTTGATTCCTCACATCATCGCTATACAACCTATCATAAATTGCTTATGTTCTTACTTGTGTAAGCCTCCACATGAGCCAAGTAATTCATCTCCTATTCATGTGGTCGCACCCTATTGAATTTTGCCAATGCATTTAGTAGCATACTACATTCAATAACCCATGTGTCACTTTTACTCCCATGAGCATCATCCCAACCTATGCAACCCTTCCAACACCTTGCATGCACATGTTGTCAACCTCCTCCAACTTCTCTCTTCGTGCCTCTTCTTTAATGCATTTTACTTGGGTTTCCCTATCACTTTTCACCTCGTTCATATCTAGGGTGCGCATTGTTTGGATAAAACTAAAAAAATCAAACTAAACTGCTCTTATTTAGTAGGTTTGGCTGGGTTGACAAAGTATTGGTTTGATTATTATTATCATTTGACTTTATATAATCTTTTGGTTATGGGCTCAATTATTATTTTTGTAAAACTGATCAAATCAAAAATTGAATTACACTATAGACTTCAAATATTAAATCAATTGAGTTCATAAACATTAAACTATAAATAAACAAGTAACAAAAAGATTAATATGGATATTCTACATGTCAAAACTATAATTTTTTAGAAAATACTACTTAATATTCTTTTTAAAAGTTCCATATTATTATGTTACGTTTATTCTTAAGATTATTTATATTTTGGTTCATCCAAAAAACAAACTAAACAAAAAAAAACTAAAATTCAGTTCAATTTAATTTGGTTTGAAAAATAGTTCACCTGGTTTGATTTTCAAAATTTTACAAATGAAACCAATTGGTTAAAGCTAATTTGCAAATCAAACCATCCAAACAGACCAAATGCATAGCTCTACTCCAAGCAACCCATGAATTCTACCTTTGTCGCTAGTGACCCACAACCTCACCAACCTTGCATGTGACCACATGGTGTCCTACCATTTATCGTCCTAGTTGATAACAAAAATCCCAAACTTCGGGCTCGACCATAAGGGCACCTAGAAGATGCCACAAGCAGTATCATTGCCAACCACCAAAACATGCGCCACATTCTCCCATTGTTGCACCACTCACCTTCAAACACCGCCTACAATGAGCATGAACACGCACGTAACCTTGTTGATGGGGGCATCGGAGCTTGGAAAGTCTATCAGAGGCGCGGCCGCCGATTTACGGCCACGATCGCGCCAATATATTTTTAAGTCGTCATATGTATTTATTTTTATTTATTTATTTTTGTATTTGCTTTTAGTTATTTTGCACTTTTACCCCTTAAGGATGGTCATGTGTAAACTCAAAGGGCTTTGTTTTTTTAGTCCATTGTATGAAGCTATATGTAGCCCTTATGTTTTATTTTCATAGTTAATAGATGTAGAATAAAATTTCCTGCATTCTGAGTTCTTGCGAGAGCTTGAGAACGTTTGGGAGAGAGAACCCTTGGAGAGGGAATTGTATCACTCGTTAGCCTTGGAAGAGTCCGGGCTCGGGGCTAGTTCGTCGTATCTCATCTTCCTCTTTTTCTCCACCCTAACCCGCAGGTCCATTCCCCTCCCCCACATCTTCAAGCCGTCAGGCCTCCCCCACCTTCCTACCCGTTGGCTCATCCCACCACCACCACCTCAAACAACCACCCTCCTCCCCACCTAACCACCGACCCACTTACCCAAATCCCCACCCCACCCGCTAGCCTTTTCCCCAACCAAACCCCTAGCCAAAACTGTCGGCCCCCTTTGGGGTTTCCCTCCATTAATGCTTACAATTACCTCTTTCCTAATTCGGTTTTAATATTTTAGGTAACTCAATTATTTTAGAAAATTCAAATCTTTTTTAATTTGAAAAGTTACCTAAAATACCAATCCTATTTTAGGAAAGTTACCAAATTTCAACCCTTTGAATTTTCCCATTAATTGAAAATTAATTAGGGCCTTCCAAATTGAATAATCCAATTAAAGAAGGCTTGATTTTATTTCCCCAAACCCCTCTCTCTCTTTCCCCATGCTGCCGGCCCCCTCCTTGGGCCCCCACCACCTAATTACTTTCCAACTTCAAGCTATTCCTCTTCGGGAAGAATTCAAATCCACTTTCCTTCCTTCTTAGGTGCCCCCAAACTTTCCTAAATACATCCAAATCCTTTCCAAACTAAAAGGATTAATTGGGGAAACAATTGTTTGATTTTCCTCCACCTCTTTTCTTCTAAAATCTGAACCTAAGTCTTGCTCCACACTTATACCCTTGGCCAGCCACATCTTTGCCTCTTTCCCTCTCGAAATCTCAAAATGAACTCCTCCCTCTCAATAGGAGTTTTCAAGGGAAGCAACAACGATTGTTGTCAACACCTCAACCCTTCAAACCAATGAATGGTCAACAACATTGTCAACAATGATCCCGATCTTGATTCCGGATTCACTTGCGACGAGCAAGAAAACATCGACGTCCTTTGGTCAACCTTCTTCGACGTCAACCCGGAAGTCGACAATTCCGTCGAAGAATATTTGGATCGCATCATCTTCACACTTTTCGAAGCCGTCGAAGAACAACTTGCCAACGTCCAGTGGAAAATTGTTTCCGGTCATCAACAAGGGTGAACTTCTTCACCTATTCATTTATCTTCCTATTCCACTAATCTTGTAGGTGATGATCAAATCGCAAGGAGTTGTGCCTAGCCCTCTGCCTCCGCTTAGTAATCGTAGGGATTGAGTTTTACTTTCTATGTTTCTAATCTCATTGTTAGCGTAGGGATTTTTGTTGAATGACTACTTAATATGTATGTTGTTCAAATTATAAATTACTTTGATGATTCAAGTTCTTAGCATGTGATTTGTCCTAAGTGTAGCTACCCTTCTTACATTTTCTATTATAGTTTAGTGGCTAATAGTCTTAATTTCTATTAACTCTTATGTCTTATCTAAATCGTACAAGTTCTTAACGCATACATCTGAAGCATACTTAGACCTGCATCACTTCTTCTCAATTTCTCGCTAGATTTATGCATTTACAATGACATTGGATTTTATCCTTACATCATCAAACTCTCAGTAGATAACTTTGTTGATGCACTCGATCGATACCGCTATTTAGCGATGTTATTCATGACTTTTCTAACATGAATCTCATTACCGACTCTCTACATTTTATTCACACTATTCTCTTTCACAAATAAATCATGCTCCCCTAGCAAAACTTGCAACCTCTGGGCAATAAAACTTCAGATTACTTCAACTCTGGTTGCTACTATTTCCAACCTCAAGTTCACATCTTTTATATCACCTTGACTTGTGCAGCAGAGTGGTATAATATCTAAACTCTCACATATGCTAACTGTTTAGAAGAGGTATCTGAATTAATTCTTATTGTTAAATTTCCACATTATTGAGGATCTTCACCTTCATTATATTTTCTTTTATTGTTATATTATCCAACCAACATATAGTCACATATTTATACTTTTATTCAAAAGATAATTCAAAAATATGTGGTTCTTTTTAATTCTCTCTCCCATACAGACCAAGAAATGCCATTGTGTTTGCAACTTACCACGTATTCAACAATGTAATTGGCCAACAAGTAAAAACCAAGTACTTAAAACAAGTTTCAATCTAAAAGCTTAACGGTTGTATATGCTAAATCTGGCATAGATTGATAGAAATTAATTACCTAATTATAAATAAAAAAACGTTTATGGCATATACCCTGAAGTTATAAAAAGCAATCAATAGTGACTGACCAGATCATAATGACGAGATATGTTGAGACGGGCTTGGGAAAGGCTATTTTTCCTTGAGATATGTTGGAGAAAATACCTAGCAGATGCAACCCCCGCTGTCAGAAGTAATGGCGTCCACCAGCCCCTGCATCATGTATTTAAGAAATTCTTCTGACAACTGTCTTAATTGCATATGAGAAATTGCTCAAAAAATTATTGAAAAAACTAAAGAATTGATGAATGCACGAACCTTTTATTTTGGTTATTGCTAAAAGAATTTCTCAGATCTCGGTTAGCTATAAGAATCTGAAGGAAAATAAAGCAAATATATTCTAAGTTCGTAACAGAAAAGTTTAGTAGAGGGGCACTATATCTCAGAATTTAGCAGCAGTTTTACCAAAAGAAGATTAAGAAGACCTTCTTTCTCATCAACAAAGGAAAAGTAGCCATTAATGTAAGCATCTGCAAAGCCTATATCGGCTTCTGTAGCAATCTGTTGATGAAGTTGATAAGTTTATTACATGATACTATTAATGGACCATCAGACTGAACATGCAACCAACAGATGCAGTGACAGGTAACCTTCCAGTAAAATAAAGGATTATGCACTTTCAGGACAGATTTCACATGAGTACTCTTGTTAATTCCTGCAAAAACAAATATCGTACCCCCTTCTTCAAGCAACCTACAGAAAATGAAATGCAATTGTTTAAAAAAACGAATGCATATTTTTCATAACTGACAATTGCTGAAACAAAATCTGATGTGATACCACATGCGAAGGAGCTTGTTAAGAAATTTAAGAACGATGGACAATGTAATCTCAATCGATAACTTATTAAAATAACAAGTAAATTCATTAAAGAACCTTAGTCTTTGACTTGCTTAGGCGAAGGAGTACAAGTAGATTAACCAAAACTCATAGGTAATCAAAGATAGTAGCAATACCAAAAGCTATTAACCAACAATCCGCAAATTAATAATGAGAGACACCTTGGGGAGTAATCACTCAACTACACTAGGCTTAGCGGGAGATGATCTTCAACACACTTAACGATGCCATGAGGAGGGCCGCAACACCGATGGTCTTGAGCCACGGAAAGGTTGGCGGTGGTGGAGGAGGCACGGAGGGATAGCCGATGACGGTCCACGAATAGTCTTCGAATTGCTCGTCGATGACGTAATACTGTCCACGGGAAAGCTATTCGGAGCTGGAGGAGTTGATGAACAGTGCAAGAGTGTATTCCAGGAGGGTTTAGCAGCAATTCTTCTTACTAGCGTTCTTGGGACAGCAATTTGTCAATATCCAGAAATTCTGGACAGCAAATGAGACCGTTCCTGCAACCTGGACATCAAACTACCTTGCTGAAAATTGCTGGACAGCAATCCTGTGAGGTGGACAGAACTCTGGGTAGCAGTTATGGGAAGACTAGGGCTGCTGGACAGCTAGACGTGGCCTTCACGTGGTGCAGGACAGCAGGTTGTCCTCTCAGAAATTCTGGGACAGCAATTGGTGGCCTTCCTGAGGTGCAGCCAATAAAGAAACGCAAGCCTGAAAGGGCGACCAAGGTGGGGAGAAGAGGTGGGGTGATTCGGGTGAGGAGCTTGGAGTGGGCTAGGAGATTGGTGGGAAAAATCTGAAATTTTAATGCCAGATTTAATTAAAAGGGAAGGGGTCAATTTGAAATTCAAATTAACATTAATTAAGGGAGTAATGGGGGAAGGGGGGCCGGCAGTTATGATGGGGTTATGGGGGGTTTAAATGGTGCTTAGGTGGCAAAGTGGAGACAAGGTGGCCGGCCGGGGCCGTGGAAGTGGCCGGCGGAGGGCTTCCAAGGGGCGGCGGCAATTTGGGTTGTGGAGGGATTTTCTTGTGGTGGAGGAGAAGAAGATGGAGTGAGATACGAACGAGAAGATAGAATAACTTAACCACGAGCCGCGGACTCTTCCAACGACTGGTGGGCCTTGCGATTTGCTCCCCTTGAGCTCTCTCCCTTCTCAAGCTCTCATGCAAGAAGAAGAAGTAGAAACAAAATAATTTTCATTCAAATATTCATTTTCTATTACAAGAGAAAAGACCCATATATATAGGTCTCAAGCATACAAGAAGAAATAAAGACTAAATTGCCCTCAGGGCCCCAACATGACTCAACTCAACATAAGGGTACAAAAGGAATACATAAAATAAAATGCATAATAACTAAAAATATAAGCTCTGAATCGTGGCCGTCGATCTGCGATGCTTCCGGCGATACACCTGTTTGAACCTTGGATCGATGTCCTCATCAAAATCTTTTGAAATAACAATTAAAGAGAATCATTGACATGATTTAAACTCGAGATATAGGTTCTTTCAAACTAGTGGATGCACTAACTTAGATAGCTTACAGAGAAGCATACAAGCAAAAGCCACCAGACTACAAATGATAATTGGAAGAAGAGAGAGTTTTCCATCTTCAATTGATTTTGTAAAAAGAAATATATAGAATTATCATCATATATTCTATGTTTGAAGCAGCGAGAAGTTAAATAACATAGAAATAAGCTTTAATAACTTATAAATAGGATGCACGAAATGAACATTTTACATGGATACATTCTTACACGAACCAAAATGAAGAGAAACAAGGAGGACAAATAGAAAAATTAAAATGAGTATGATCTAGGAGGCTAACCACCAATCTAGACGTTGACCCAGACAAGTTATGGTTCAATTGAACCAGACACTTAATTAAAGCGAGTGAAGCAGCACGTCAAGCGGGTGGAGTCGAGCAGCCGAGCACGAGTGTGGGAGCAGCTAATGAAACCGAATTGCGTAAGTGAGCAAGGATGAGTGATCGAGAGTGAAAAGCTATGACTCCTCGTGGGAGATAAATCTAATTCACTCACTCCAGTGGAATCAAACGAGAGAGTGAAAGCAATAGCCAAGAAGAAGTCGTGACCAAAAGGAAAGAGAAGGAGAAGGGAAGGCGAAGGAAGGAAATTGAGAGAGAAAGAGAAAGAATTTGGGTTTGGAAGTTTCTTCATTTCTAATTACAAAGGAAGTATAAGTGATTTCAATTTCTTATTTTTTCTAATCAAATGTAGAGAAGAAATTTTATAAAATTTGATTTTTCTGACTGAAGCAATGGTATGTAATTCTCCAATAGGAAGAAATTCAAATAATAAAAAATCCAATGGGTGAAAATTTTGTTTCAACAGGAAAGAAGGAAACTTGAGGTAACAAATATTAACTTTATGAATCTTATTTCAACAAATTTCTAGGATATAACAAAGTAGAAAAAGGAAATGAATGATGTTATGTTTTGGACAGGAAAGAAAATTTAATTTGTTATACTTCGATAAAGCATCAAAATCAAATAAAGATCCATGAAGAATTTAGATAAGATTTTAACTAGTAAATGATAAATTAATTGAAAATTTATGAAATTATAGTTATGAAACTTCAATGCAGATTCATGAAATTTTGCATATGACCTTAGGTGTTGTATTAAGGAAAGCTATAGCAAAGCTAGAGCATTTGAATAAAATTGAAATACGAAAATAATTAAAATGGGTAATTATAATTATTTATAGCAATTATAATTTTTTTTATTTTTATTGCAATTATTATATATTGTAGCATATATGTTGTCTGAATGTATAATATATAAAATGAATCAATTAAGAAAAATAAAGTGGATGATCATATTAATTATAGTAAATTCATTTTCATTATTTTATTACTAAACATTATATCATGTGCAAGTACTTACTATAGTTAAATATTAATATACAACAAACTTGAGAAAGACTAAATAATTAAAGCAATATGTGTATATATATATATATATATATATATATATATGAGAAAAAGGTCTTTCTACATTTATATAACATTTAATGGTAAAATGAAATAAGCTAAATAAAAAGTATAAAAAGGGATTCACACCCTTATGGTACTGACTGGGGTATACAATGTACACCCTTATGGTACTGGCTGGGGTATACAATGTACACGTGCACGTTAAATGAAAATGAAAATAGATATAGATGTACATTCATTGGTACAAAATTTTAGTCAGTGCTCTTGTACTAAATGAAAAAAGAAAATGAATAAATAAAAATAGAAAATAAATAAATGAAATAGAAAAAGAAATAAGTTATTGAAAAGAAATATAATAAGACTCTAAATTATATGAAATGTTATGTATATATTAACTGTAAAAGAAATGTAAAGGATCATGAATATCAATGTATGGTTAACTGTTATAATACAATTTGTGATTATCCACTGAGTTTATTATATAAACTTAAATTATTAAATTAAAATTTCAGGTAAATCATCTGAGAAATAAATGGCTGCAAAGAAGAATTCGTCTAAAGAAGAAGGAAATCGAATAAAAATTGGTATGAACTGGTTATGTATATATTTAATTGAAAAATATGTTTTAGTGACTCTTCAGTTAAATATTGGATGCTAGTATGTTTAGTGTTGTATGTTATTGAAAAAAAATGCATTAACCATAAGACCATCTGCTCTCGCCTCTTTAATTCGAGTTTTTGGGCCAGATCGTGACAAAAGTAGTATCAAAAGTTCAAAACCCAAACACGATATGAATCATATTAAAAGAGACATTAGATTGATAATTGAGTTTAAGAAAATTGATATAATATGAAATTATAAATTTTTATAAGATTGTTTATTTTATTTCAGGACTCAGAATGATCCTGAAGATGTAGAAATAGTTGTACCAAATATAGCTGTTAATATCGATGCACTCACTCAAATGATGACATCAATGACTCAATTGATTCAGGATTCAAGATCTCAACCATCATGAAGTGGTAGTAGTAGCATGTCAATGGATATTTAAAATTATTTAGGATAAGAAACTCCATTGTTTAAAGGAATAGAAAGACCAATTGAGACAGAAAATTGATTATTACGGATTGAGAAGATACTAGAGGGGATGTTCTGCCCATAAGTGAGAAAGTTGTCATCATAATTATTTGCACTTGATGGCGAGGCTGAAAGGTAGTGGAGGGGTCAACAACATGATAAGTTTGGAGGGATACCTAGTATCCAGTCAAATTAGATATGTTTACTCAGGTGTTCATAGATTGTTTTGTTCCTTTTTATGCAAGGCAAATGCAAAATAAATTTCGGAGGTTGGTACAAGGGGATAGATCCATAATATAATATGAAGTTGAATTCACTACCTATCCAAATACTAATGTAGACATCAGCAAGAGATTCCAGAATGTTTATCACCGGAAGCATCATAAATCGACAGCTGCGATTAGCAGTCTATATTTTTTATCAGTTATTTTATTTGAGGCTTTGTCATTTGTACCCTTATCTATTATGTACCGAGAGTTGTAACCTTGAGGGCATTCCTGTCATTTCTTTCTAGTTGTTTGAAGACCTATATATAAGGTCTTAGTCTTTGTATGAGGATTATTGATGAATAAATTTTTTTTCTAATTTCTCTGTAGAGCTTGTAAGTTCTTGAGTAAGTTTCTAGGTGAGGGCAAAAGCAATACCCACCAGTCGCTGGAAGTGTCTGGAGATCGTGGTCTGAATCGACTCCGTTGCTCCAAACTACCACCCCTCCTCTTGCCTTAGCCGACGGCCCACCTCCCTCCTCCCCCTAATCCTCCACGTCGGCCAACCCAACCCCTTACCCGACGGTTATCCAACTCCCTCTCTTCCTAGTCGCCAAGCAGACCTCTCTCCACCACCCGTCGTTCCCACCTCCCATCATGCTGCCGGCCCCTACCCACCCAAACTCCCCTCTTGATGATAATTTCCATCATCATAATAGCCTTCTTAATTTAGCCTAGATAACTTGGGAAGAAATTTTAAATTTTGAAAATCAATTTTTGAATTTCAGAAAACTTTCCTACATTGTCAAATCTAAATTAGGAAAGTCCCTAAATCTATGCCCGAATTAATTTTAATTGAGATTGGATTTCTTGACTTCTTTCCAAAAGGGGATTAATGCAATTAGAAACTTTGAATTTCACTCCCAATCCCCCCATCTCCCAAGCATACCGCCGGCCCTCCTTCCCCCTCTTTAATTCCCCCTCTCTCTCTCCACTTTAACCCTACACAAGCTTTGAATTTCAAATTGAATTCAACTCATATTTCCCTCCCATCAATTAATTCCCAAATCTGAAATAAATTTCATATTTATTCTTCTTTTCCCTCACACAAACCCAAACCCTAACTTGGCCAAAAGAAACCCTCCCCCTTAGCCGACCCCCCCCCCCTCCTTCCTCTCTCATCTCTTGAGTTGCTTCTTTCTCATGCAATTTAGCATCCTAAGAGGGAAAGAGACTACAAACTCCTCCACGACTTCTTGCTAGTGCATGGCCAATCCCAAGGTTGATCATGGTTACGTGTATGATGACCAAGGCCCAACAAATTTCCTTCGCTCTCCCTTCTTTCTATCAGAGCATGGTAGGCATGCGTTATTAGTGCTAAAAGTAATCTTATAAGTCTACCTAACCATCCCTTAGTTTGTTTGCATGCATAACATCACCTAGATATCTTATTTTTTTGGTTTTGCTTGTTGTCCAACATTTGCATGCACCCCTTTAGTGAGATTTAAGTGAGTCTAACCTAGTCTACTAATTCCTAAGCAGTTAAGGTATTTCAATGGATCAGAATAAAATCAAAGCTATTGCATAAGGGCCAAGGTGATGAGGACATCAGACCTTGGAGAGTCTACCAAAGGTGGGGCCGACGATCTACGGCCACGATCTCACCGATCTACTTTTGATATTATTATATTAGTTTTATTATTATATTATGTTTCATGAGTGTATTGTATTTTTTTTCATTTATGCCCTCGCTTAAGGGTCTAGTCCTATATATGCCTTAAAGGCAATTGAGTCTTTTGTATTTTCATTGTTTTGGGCTATTTAAAGCCTTCCCCTCCTTTGAGGGCTAATGAATGTTATTATGAAAATTTTCAGCAATTGAGTTCTTTGTGAGAGTTTGAGAGTTCTTGGAGAGAAATCCCTAGACGAGGGAATTGGATCACCCATCAGCCGTAGGAAGCGTCCGGGCTCGTGGTTATCTTCTCCTTTCTTCCTCCCCTCCTCTTCCTCCAAACCGTCGGCCTCCTCAACAAATCCCTCCAAGCCGCCGGCCAAGAAACCCCTCCTAACCGCCGACCAAAAACCCACCTCCACCTCCTCCAAGCCCCGATCACATCGGACCCCCATCTTCTCTAAACCATGGTTAAACCAACCCTAAATTCAACCCCACCTAACCTAACCCTCACCCTAGCCGTCGGCCACCCAATCCCAATATCCTTGCCGCCTAAATTCAAAACCCTTCCAAATTCAAAACCTTTCCTTTTAGGAAGAAGTCTTAATTCATATTCAAAAAAAAATTTGAATTTGAATTGGTTTCCTAAAATAGGATCCTCTATTTTAGGAAAGTTCCTAAAATTAATCCCAATTGAACTTTAAATTAGATTGGATTTAAATTAGTCCCTTCCTAATTTAAATTCCCAAATCAATTTAGCATTGATTTCCTTCCCAAGCCCAATTCCCCCTATGATGTCGCCGGCCTCATCCTCCTCTCTCTTTATTCCATAATAAATTCCTACCTCATTTGGAACCCCAATCAATTCCCTAAGCCAAGGAGCACTTTCCTTTTCCCTTCCCTTATTTGAACGTCAAATTTCGAAGCCCTAATCCTCTCTTGCATAAATCTGAAATTCACTTTCAGATTTCTTTAGAAGAGGTTTTCTCCCTCCTAACCTTAGCCGACCACACCCCTTCCTCCTACCATCATTTACTCTAGGTTTGAAGCTTAACCTAAGTAAGAAAGGGAAGAAGAAATCATACCCCTTTCCCTCCCACACCTTACAAACTTTTCTACCCATGCATGGCTGATCCAAAACGTGACCACGATTTCATTTACAACGACCAAGGCCGCGTTGACATCCTCAACTCCCCTTTCTACGACCTCATCCTCGAGGTTGACCAAACTGTGGAGAATTACGTGGAAATGATCATCTTCACCATCGCTGAAGCTATTGAGGAGCAACTCTCTTTCGTCCAATGGTGGATTGTCTCCAAATCCTAAGCAAGGTGAATCTTTCCCCTAATCTTTTCCTACCTGACTCTTACCCCACTTGTGGTTTTAATTGATTCACTACGATCTTGTTAAACCTCTCAACTAAGCCTAGTAAATTAGAATTGAGTGAAGGACTCTTCATAGTGAATAATCTCATTGTTAGCGTAGGGATTTCTTGTTGAAAATATGTCATGTATGTTATATTTTGAATTATTGATTATTTTGAGATCCTAACCTCTCATCGTGTGACTTGGCCTAAGCTTGTCTCATCCCTTTCTTGTATTTATTTCATCGTTTAATCACTACAAGTATTTTAGTTAATAAAGCTCTCTAAATCAAATTGTGCAAGGTTCTTTTCTAACATTGCTTAGGCATTTTAGTCCTGCATCATTACCAGAACTAGTGAATTTCGGATGGGAAAAAATTTTCATTTATTGGAGTACATTACACATGCAAAAAAGGATAGAAAAGGAAAAACAGTCAACCAAATTGCCACAAAAAATGCATCAAAAAACATTAAAGATTGGTACAGCCAATCAAATGAGAACGCCTTAAAACATAGCCCATCTATTGGATCTAATCAACTCATTTTAAAAGAAGCCAAAAAGATGTCTAATTGATTTCCTGATTGATTTATTATTTCGTGGTATAAAAAGCAGCATTTTATTTCAAGAAAATATACATGGCATTAACTAAACTAAAACAATTATAAACTTACGTCAAAGTACCGGTTGCGATGTAACGTTCCAGAAATTTAACCACTACAAGCCTTGCTCCAACTTCAGTAAAAGAAAGCGTCATATGCTTTGGATTTTTCAGAAGTTTTAACTCCTTCCCTAGTATATTATAAGCAACGGTTGACCCGGCCTGAAAGAGACATCAAAATATAATGAGCTAGAAATTTCTCTACAGTTAAATTTCATGATAAAAATTACTTCAAAGTTTCAACTTTTTGCTCATACAAGTAACAAATTTTAAAATTACCTTAAGTCCATCTTCGTGGAAGCCATAGCCTGCAAAGAATTACAATAAAAGGTTTAGACTCCATAAGAAAGATGTATTATCCACCAAAAATGATAACGTAGAGAAATATATCCAAAAATTAGAAATTAGATTTTTTAAGGTTTAAGCTGGATGTGTGAACATCCCAAATAAGTAAGTCATTCATGTGCACTGAAATATAAATTTAAATTAGGTCATATTCTGTAACCATTTTGCATAGGAAAGGTTAGCATCCTTAGATTAACAAATAGAGCTAATTAGGCATGCAAGTGATGTAGGCAAGGGGGGGGGGGGGGGGGGCTTCTTTCCCCTTTTTTCTTCTCATTTCCTTGTCCCTTTCCCTTCCCCTTTTCTTCTTGTCTCTTGGAGAATCGTGGCTTGCTCTTTAGTGATGGCTGAATTCAAAGCATTACCTCCCCCCTTTCTTCTTGGAAAACCGTGGCCTGCTCTTTATTTATGGCTAATTCAATGCAAAATATTAATGAGGAAGTTATTGATTTTAATGCTTTACCTTTGGGAATTCAGCCAGCCTTTGTTTTTTCCTAAATGGAATGCTTTTCCCGTAACTATGCTGCTTTGAATTTCGGCCTGCTTGCTGAAACTGTGTGGAATTTTCTGTGCTGGAAGCAGTGACTTTTTGCCCTGCTGTTTGGGATTCCTGTGCAGGAAATTTAAGACTTTTATCATTCCATTTATGGGGATTCTTGGGGCTGTTTGGTGGCTGATTGGGAAGGAATTCCAAGAGTTTTTTACTGTTTTCTGTGCAGTTTTCTACTGCAGTTTTTTGGTGTCTTTTAGCCTTCTTCTAGGTGTCTTTTAACCTTCCATATTCCCTAATATTTGGGCTGTTTGGCTGCCCTTTTTGTGCCTATAAATAATGTTGTTTGTGGCTGTTTTAGGAAGTGGATATGATGTGATTTTTGGGACAAAACCTGAGAGGTTTTTATTTTGGAAATCCTGCGGGCTCTTTCCAATCTTCTTCCCCTCCTCCAATGGAAATCTTGCGAGCTCTTTCCAACCTTCGTCTTGGCTTCTAACCTCTTTCGTCTATCCGCAAGTGCCATTCCATTATATCCTTCTTCTCAAAGTAAGCAAGTTTAGGGTGTCTTGTTTGAGTCATTTGTAAGTGTCTTGTAAGAGTCAAGTTTGTAAGTCTTTCCTTTTATATGATATAAAAAGTTTGTTTTGTCTAATTACTCTAATTTTTATGAGTTCTTGTACTCTTTTATTCTCTAGAAATAGTTTGTTTTTTGTGATCAAAAAATTTGGATCTCTCTCACAAAAATTAGAGTAATTAGACAAAACAAACTTTTTATACATATAAAAGGAAAGACTTACAAACTTGACTCTTACAAGACACTTACAAATGACTCAAACAAGACACCCTAAACTTGCTTACTTTGAGAAGAATGATGCAATGGAATGGCACTTGCGGATAGACGAAAGAGGTTAGAAGCCAAGACGAAGGTTGGAAAGAGCTCGCAAGATTTCCAGAGGAGGTGGAAGGTGGACAAAGCTCTCAAGCTTTTCCAAGAAGAACCCGCAGGTTATGGCTTCCAAAAATCACATCATCACTCTCATAAAACAGCCACAAACAATATTATTTATAGGCACAAAAAGGGCAGCCAAACAGCCCAAATATTAGGGAATATGGAAGGTTAAAAGACACCTAGAAGAAGGCTAAAAGACACCAAAAAACTGCAGTAGAAAACTGCACAGAAAACAGTTAAAAACTCTTGGAATTCCTTCCCAATCAGCCACCAAACAGCCCCAAGAATCCCCATAAATGGAATGATAAAAGTCTTAAATTTCCTGCACAGGAATCCCAAACAGCAGGGCAAAAAGTCACTGTTTCCAGCACAGAAAATTCCACACGGTTTCAGCAAGCAGGCCGAAATTCAAAGCAGCATAGTTACGGGAAAAGCATTCCATTTAGGAAAAAACAAAGGCTGGCTGAATTCCCAAATGTAAAGCATTAAAATCAATAACTTCCTCATTAATATTTTGCATTGAATTAGCCATAAATAAAGAGCAGGCCACGATTTTCCAAGAAGAAAGGGGGGAGGTAATGCTTTGAATTCAGCCATCACTAAAGAGCAAGCCACGATTCTCCAAGAGACAAGAAGAAAAGAGGAAGGGGAAGGGACAAGGAAATGAGAAGAAAAAAGGGGAAAGAAGAAAAATCATTTTAAGAAATAATGAGCTAAATTTTTACTAGACATTAATGAGCTAGAGGAGTCAAAAATCAAATATTAGGATTTGATTTGACCCCCCCCCTGCCTACATCAGCAAGGCATTACACTCTTGTCCCCGACACCAAATGAAAGAATCTCCACTCGTGTTGGCTCACGCTCAAGACCCCCACATTCACTAGCACTTGCGCTCACCACATTGTCTCCTCACAATCATTTGTGCTCCACCTCCCCTTTCTCAGACTCCCTAAACTCACTCACGCTCAACTGCCCCCATTCATGCTAGCCCATGCTACCTAGTATCGATGCCCAATCCACCCTCGCGTGCATAGAACTCTTCAAGTTCGGCACCCTCACAACATTAGCTCGCCACTGCTCTTTTTTTTTTTTTTTTTTTTTAAAATCTTCCCCTTTTTTTTTTTTTTTGAAACTCTACTCCATTTTATGTTATGCATCCTTCAATGCTACTGTCTCAAGTCTGAAGTCGATCACTCTATCTTTCTCTACTATCAAGTCTCTTGTTACATGTGCATCTTGTTGTCTCACTAGGTGATTGGAGGGAACAATCATTCAGATTTTAAACTTACTTGCACCCCTTATTTCTCAATTTTTTCAGCAAGTTTTAGAACCACCAACTCAACACAAGTTGCATCCTGATTAGAACTGTCAAATTCCCATGCATGAAAATTCAACCAAGAAGATTACTAATAGTCTAAGTTGCTTCAACAACTTGTCTATGTGGGCTCGGAAAACAACCACCTAGCTCTTGTTATATTCAAGATTATGAATTCACTTTTCAAAATGTATATCAAATTTTAGATAAGATATTTTACAAAAAAATTATGATTGAGTTTGAGATTTCCCATAGGTGCAAATCTCTATGATTAATGATCTCGTCAATCACTAAAAAGATTTTTCAATTAAATCTAGTTAATAAGCTCTAAGGATGCTTTGCTTTAGAATCAAATTTGAATTAAAGAGGAATGATAATTGTCATTGATTTAGAGTGTTTGGAAGAAGAATGACAATACAAATAATCAAGATGAAATGATTTCAAGGGGCAAATTTCAAACAAACTGTCTAACAAAAGGTTTCATGCATTATTGAGTATGCCTTATAACTAAACTCATAGCTTAGTAATTAGGCAAAATCCGAGATTAGGTTATAAATGTAATATAGCGATACCATCGCAATCAAGCAAACAACTTTATCAATAGCCATGTGTAAGATTCTTATGGACAATTTTTTAGAAGGTTCCTTTTCATAATTAATTAGTTATTATAGGACATGTTTTCTTTTCTTAACTACATAAGGGTAGATTAATAATTAAAAGGCTCTATAGGTTAAGAGGAGAAGCTAATCTAGATAAACTCTTCCGTTTAGAGAGAAATTTGTTTTGAGTGGAGTTTTCTGTCAAAGTTATCCCGAGTAAGATGGACAATTCCCTGTTTTGGAGAGTTGGCGAAGAGGAGGTCGCAGTGGACTCCAATATTTCGCCACAATTGATCACCCGATAACTACAAGCCTCTCGGTCATTTCTTTCTATCCCACGTGGCACAAGAAACTGTTGTAACTGATGGGAGTTCTTGATCTCTGATGTTAACTGGGAACAAAAACAGCAATCTACTATCAATTTCTTGCACAAGGAAATTCTACAGAGTTTGTGAACGCACTTCACCAAAATTCTGCATGTATAAGGTTCCCTGTTGCTCACTCCTACTTATCTTGTTTCTCTATTTCCTTGGAGTATTTCATCGACCTGCCTTCTTCCTCTTGGATATCCCACAGGCGGATGGAAAAATTACAGCAAGAAGCCACAATCCTGAAAGTCTCGAGTAGTTTAGCCCGGACAAGAATCCATTTTGGATAATAAGATCAATTGCTTCTTGATCCATAGGAGACTTAGTCATGTTCACTGTTCTCCAAACCTTCCACTTACTAGTTTTTTTTTTTTTTTTTCATGAGCATCTGACTTCTTCCTCCAGTGATAGATAAGATTAGAGAGAGTCGCCTTAGATGGTTTGGTCATGTAAAAAGGCGGCCTTCCAATGATCCTGTTAGGAGGGTAGAAATATTATATTTGGACATTGTTAAGAAAGGTAGAGGTAGACTTAAAAAAACTTGATTAGAAAATATTAGAAAGGACCTTTGTTTATTATCTTTAAATGAGAATTTCACTTTTAACATGACACAATAGAGAAAAAAGATTTCATGTAGCCGACCACACGTAGTGGGATAAAGGCTTGATGTTGTTGTTGTTGTTTCTGAGCATTTGTCCTCTTTCTTTTTTTGTGTTAACAGGGGATGGTTGAGCATTTGACAGCTGTTTTAAAGTCTTGTTGATGCCAGTCTGTTAACCATAAATAATTTCCGTGGGTTTGGTAGTTATGTATACAGAAAGTTGTGCAAGCTTTAGTTGTGCAAAATTTTATCTTATTTGGGTTTGTCCAACATCAACGAAGTGTCGTCTACTGGCATGAGATTTTTTAGTATAATTATAATGATATCATAGATATGACATTAGCTCAAGGTAAGCTTAGGTTAAACTTAAATTTATCATATATGGAGAACTATTGTGAAAAATGGATTAATGATTGTTCCGTACTAAAAGTAGAAAGAATTTTGCAGACAACTGATGTGGAGCACTTTCGATAAGGAATTTCTTAAAATATAATGACTTTATAATATAGTTTTATATGAAATGCAAGAACTGCAATGTAGCATGAAGTTGTGAAATATCCAAGTACAACTGTTTTGTCATTATGCATGTAAATATTTTTGTGATGCTAGACTAAATAAGCACTGGCAATTCAAATCACCCCCTCATTTGCTCCAACCTCGTTTTATTCCAAACTCTCATGCTAGATTGTACCATAATCTACCTCAAAGAAAACTACTCAGGAGTTTCTAACTTACATCAAAAAGGCTCAAGCAAGGAGGTAGCTTGTGACAACAGGTTCATCCGGCCGGTTCAATTGAACCGGCCGGCCCCCTATTAATAACCGTGATAAGGGAATTCGCGAAACAAAAGGGGCGAACATGCGGATCGCAACAAAAGTGGGGCTGGGCGGAATCGTGAGTTGGAGCAGACGTCCGAATTTGCACGAGGGAGTTTCGTTTCACTATTTTGAGCGGAAGATTGTGATTAGGGATAAAGTTTGACAGCTCTTAACTTTTTTCCATTCTTATCGCTAAAGGAGTGGAGATTTGGAAGAAATAACAATAACAAAGAGGAACGGCCGAAGAGAAGAGGGTAAAAGGTTTGTTAATTTTTTTTCATTTTTGTATAAATTGCATCGTTTTATTTCATCTAAAGCAAAGGATGTTTTATTAAAGGAAGAGAAAGAGATTTGGAAGCAAGGGGAAAAGATTTTAAGAGAGAAAGAGAAAATTTTTGGGATTTGGAAAATCCCCTTTTTGTAAGTAAAATTATTATTATAAATTTTATTTAAATTTGTTATTAAATTATATTTCCATGAAAATTAAATTGTTTAATTTAAAAAATTTAGAATGGAAAGAGATCAAGTTAAAGGAGTTGGGGTCTTCAAGAATTCAACAAGAAAGGAAACATGTTACGAGGTATGGAAGAAATCAAATGTTTGTTGAGTCATTCAAATTGAGATTTAATATTAATTAAATCATTATATTCTTGTGAACAGTTAAAGGATGAATATTGGAAGAGAATAAAGTGGGTATTATAGAATTTTCTCTTTTTTTGTTTTTTTTTTATTTTGCAAAGAGAATATTAGAAGTTTTAAGACTTATAAATTATTTTGGAAATCATTCTGTATGAAATCAACAAATGTATATGCAAGTGAATGAAATGTGAAAGAAAATGCACGTTAAAAATCTATCTATAAAAGAAATAGAAAGTAATTATATTAAAGAAATAATATATGAATGAATAAAAAATAAATGGAAACAAAGAAAAGGATAAGCATGCAAAAATTTACAGAAGTTCACTCGTGCACGTAAAAAGAAAATAGTTATGAAAAAAGAAAAAGAAATGAAAATGATTGTACCTTTGATACATTTAGATGGTGCTCATGCACAAAATAAATGTGAAAAGGAATAAATGGAATATGATATAATATATATAAAAGAATGAATAAAATGAAATGAACCAAAAGAAAGAAAATATATTTCAAATGTTAAATGAATGGACATATATTGAAGGTAATATGTATTGTACCTTACGCATGTTAATTGTTATAGCAGTTACCCAGTGAGTTTACTTTGTAAACCCGTTCCATTAAATAAATATTTTCAGGTAATTCTCCAAAGATTTAAAAATGGCCAAAAGGGAAGAGTTCGTCGATAGAAGACGGCATACAAATGACAACATGTAATTTATGATTTATACAAATGTAAGTATAAGAGAAAATTATGAAATAGAGGCTCTTCAATAAAATAGAGAAAGATGTATGTTATATTGTTTATGAATTGTACTGAATTATTCTACCGTCCGACTTTTAGTTCCCGTCTCATTAAATCGAGCATCCGGCCGGGTCGTGACATAGCTTTTCATGAGTAATCAAAAAAGCAAAGCCTAACAAAAAAATAGCTAAGCTCTCCCATGCCTTGCATAGCGTCATTATCTTACCGGTAGTCTGGCAAGAACAACATATTCAAAACAATATTATTTTTGAATGCTAAATGTATTCTAAATAACATTATTTATTTACATGTCTTATCAGTGCATCTTTATGCTTCATTAGCCAACTTCATAAAAATTAAGTCTATTTTTTTACCACTTAACTTTGATAGGTACTACACAGATAGTCCTTAAATAATAATTTCTAAATCTACCATTCCTAATTTTCTGCATATCCATCTACACATTCTCATTCCCACAACCCTCAACTTATGTATTAGTGATTTTCTTTATCAGTATACATCATTAGTTTTCATTATTAAAATGTAACTAGTTAGAAATTTCAAGCTAGCTAAGTTTACAGCACTAGAAACTTTGTGAAATAAAAGCATGGGAATATGCAGACTATTTTGAGATAATGATGCATCCAACGCATCCATACCGGTGTTTGATGAATTTCAGCGGTCATCATTAGTAGTCAAAATGTATCTTAACAGTAGCGGAAAGCTAGCTGCTTTCCATAGTCCTGGAAACGTCCTGTGGATCAAAAGTTTGAGAAGATGCAAGTATTTTGAGAATGACATCGCATCCACAGTATTCCTAAGGCTGCTTGATGAATTTCATCAATCAGAAGTAGTAATCAACATTTAAATGTATTGACATGGTATTGCAAGCTAGTTTTCCTTTTCCATGCAAGAAACTTAATCAAAATAAAGCATATGAAGTTATCTAGAATAGCATGCACTTCAAGGATGTATATTTGAAATGCAAAATGCTAAAAAATTAATTTTTTTAGTGGACAACTAGGAGCACTATAAAGTTATAATTTAAATAATTATCTCTTTTTAAACACTCTATCAGAGGAAATATCGTACCTTGATATGCCCCAGAGAACCAGATCCTCCTTTTACCCTGGATTTTGTCAAGCTCAAGAGAGGCTTTTGAGGCTGCAACGGAGGGTACAGGATGGCTAGTAGTCCACTTAAGTACTTTATGCTTCGGAGTAAAGGGTGGGTTGAGAGTCACGAGAAATGGCAGGGAAGTGTGTCCAAGATTCTGAAAAATCATTTGGAAAAGGAATTATTAAACTTACTATCCTGAACATAACAACACTTAAATTGCACGCAGACCTTTTCTATTGTCAATTTTCTCCAACAGATTCCTAATATATAAAGGTCAATAAAAGAAGATAGACTAAAAATTACACCACAAACCTGAAGCACATTCAACCAATATGTCAGATAAACACCATTTTCTGTAGTCCCAAGAAAATTCCACGCACTCCAAGCTGATGGGTTCTGGGGCATCAGACTTATGTCACGATGAAGATAGATGTCACTGCAGGACGAGAAATATACACATAATAGAAGTTATCATGTCATCATAAAAAAGAAAAAAATCAGTGACATAACCAATTATGTGGGTTAAGACAAGGCGTTACATGTGATCTACGCAAGTTGTATTTCATTTTCTTTTTGAATCACAATTTACAGGCAAGTTACCATAAGTCTTCCTCTTTTCCATCCTATGTTTCACGTTAATTCTAAAACATATCATTGCATATTCTACTCCACAATGTACTTACAAAAATTTGATAAATCGATTTCTAATAACTTGCCTTCAAAAAATGTTACACTCAAGATCTTGTCAATAATCTTCTCACACTCTATCCACCTTCATTTCACGGTCCATCCATCTAATGATGTGAAACACATATGGAAATAGGAATTGCTTAGGAATTAATAACTTGTTAAGTTTAGCTAATTTTAAACTCAATGTTTCACCAAAATAGGATTCTAAGAGTTCTTAGTTGCAATTAGACTTTAGTAGTTAGTTACACAAAAGATTTGATGTATAACGGGTAGGAGGTTCTGCTAGGGAGAGGATCTCTTCACCAAAATCTAACAGCATGTTCTGATTTCTTTGCCCAAAACCTGAGAAGAAATTCTGCACAACAAGTAGCCAACCTGGGACAGCGATTCCGGACAGTTCCGGGCAGTAACAGTCGCTCCCAGAAAGGCTGGACAACAGCAAACTGCTGCGGAAATCTCTGGACAGCAGATGGGTGGTCTTGAGAAGACCCTGGACAGCAATTTGGCACTTGGGAAAATCCTGGACAGCAACCTAAAAGGTTTAGAAAAGCTGTGGACAGCAGCAGTTTTGAAGCTTCAAGTTGATGACAATCCAAGAACCACTGCAGGAATTTTCTGGCAGCAGCTTTGGAGAGCAGGACATCCAACGTGGGATAGGGTTTGGGAGGAGTTTGTAGAGGAAAAACAGCACGGGAGCCTTGGGAAAGAGTTCAGCCAGCAGGGGTGAAAAGCCTGAGATTAATTCCAACTTGGGAGAGTGATTTTGGAAAGGATTAAGACGGTGGTAACAAGAGGAATTTCAGCCCATAAGAAACGGTGGGATGTAGAGAGAATTAGGGAATTTATTTCCTTATTCCACTCTCAGCCTAGGGAAGTAATTAATGGCTTGAGCTTTGAATATCACGGCTGGTAGGAAAGAGGAAATATTTCCAAAGAAAGGTGATGGTTTTAAGAAAGAATTCCTACTCCCAGCATTAAGGGGGCCGGCGGTTTTCAAAGCCAGGAAGGGGATTTAATGATGTGATTTAAGGCTCTTAGATTTGAATTTAGGAATGAGGAAAGTGAGACAATAAATCAGATTTGAATCTAAAATTCAAATTGATTTCCTATTTGAATTTGAGTTCAAATATTATTAACTTAAGAAACTTTCCTAAAATAGATTCGCTAATTTAGGAAAGATTTCAAAATTCAAAATGTTTTGAATTTGAAATAAGTGATTTGTGGAGGAAAAATTTTGAGTTAATGAGGGAGTTAATTAGGAGCATTAAATGGCTCATAATTAGGCAAAGGAAAGAGGAAGAGGGGTCGGCTTAGGAGAGAGGGAGGGAGAGGAGTTTGATTTCAAATAAGTGGGCCCCAATTACTTAAGTGAATTAATCCTTTAATCTGAAATTAAATTTCAGATTTAAAGCTGCAATTAATTCCTTAATTAAAGGGAGGTAATTGAGGGGGTTTTAACTCCTAATGCAAATTTGAATTTTGAATTGGAGAGTTAAAACCTTCCAAATATGTATCAAACCCAATTAGGAAAGATTCAAATTCAAATTCAAAAGGATTTGAAATATTTGATCATCCCAATTACATCATCAACCCAATTAGGAAATTTCAAAGAGACGGCGAAGTGGGGATGGGGCCGGTGGCTAGGGAGCCATGGCCGGCGGTTTGGAGGATTTTCTAGTGAGGTGACCGGCGGCTTATGGTGGAAATGGAGACGATGATGATAGACGTAGGTAGAGGATGAAGACGACGGCTAGGAACAAAAAGAAGGAACAAAACAAAAACAAAAGATAGAAAATAAAAACCGCGAGCCTTGGACTTCAAGTCACGAGCCCGGACCCATCATGCAGCTGTGAAAACTCTTATTCTTTCCCATAGGAATCTCACTATCGTCCTCTCAAAAGAACACAAGTGTGGAACACAAATTTTTAATATCAATAATCCCCCCTATTACAATAGCTTAAAGCCCTATATATATGCCACAACATAAAAAAACTTAAAATACAAAATTGTTGTCGATTTACGAAAAATAACTCACATAAACCAACCTAGGGGTAAAACAGGAAATACATCAAATAAGTACTAAAATTCAGAAAAATAACTCATAATTAAATATTTAAATTATAGCCGTCGATTTACGACGCCTCCTGTGATAGATGCGTCAAATCTTCATACCGATGTCCGCATCAAGATTACCGAAACAATTAGAAATAAGATCAAAATTCATAATAATACTTGATGCAGAATAACAAAATCCATCGTTTAACATGTAAAACCCAAAAACTGTCGATCATATGCGTCGCACGCATTTCGATGCACCGTGACGAAATTAGGTGAAATTCCAAAGTTGTCGGAATTTGACGCAATAAATTTTATAAAATTCTACGTGAAATTTCAATTGAAACAGTACAAAAAACATATACATAATTTCGCACGATTTGGAAATTAAAAATCGTCGAAGATGTTTAAGTAAACTTTAACCCTTTATACCCATTTTGCCCTCATAAACTCTTAAGAAAATAACGAGGGAATGGGCACATGCATCTTTTTCCCTAAAACCCCCTTAAAGCCTTAAGGGACCGATTATTTCAGTCCCTTGTTCATTTCTTTCGGCCAAACGAAGGTGAGGGCGGGTGGAAGAGAGAAAGGGGCGGCGGGAGCTAGGAAAAACTGGTGGTCGGCGAGATTCCGGCAAGGATCTTTGAAGAAAAATGTGGGGAAACGCATATCTTTCGGCCGAACGAAGGAGAAGGTGGGCGAAAGAGAGAAAGGGGCAACAGAAGCTAGGGAAAACCGACGACCAACGAGATTCCGGCAATGATCTTTGAAGAAAAACATGGGGAAACACATAAGGTAGAGGTAAGCTTTAAACCTAGCAATCTTGTTCCTTCTCCTAGATTTTTCATGAATCAAACGTTAGGGTTTTTAAAAATCATGAAGTTGGTTAAAGAAAAGTGCGTAGGAAGAAGAGAGTAAATTTCTTTTGCAAAAAAAAAATTAAAGTTTTCCCTAAATTTCTTTAGGTTCCAAATTTAGGGTTTTGCTTTTTAATTGGGCTTTCATAGGAAAGTGTTAGGGATTGTATGTGAGCATATGCCTAAGCAAGAAAATGAACTTTTTATGAAGAAAAATTTTAGGGTTTGTCATATATTGGAAAATTTGTGAAGAGTACTTAACAAGCGTGTTTCCAAATAATCTTAGAAGGGCTCTAATGGTGGAAAATTGGGAATTTTCATAATTTCTTATATTTTACTAATTATTATATTTAATAATCCGAAAATTAAATACCCTAAAATTATAATTAGGTAAGAGGGATGTTTGAGCATGCAAATTTAATGAAATTAGTGAAGAATTAGGTTTCCAAAAAGTGGAATTTAGGTAAATCCGAAAATTAGCATTTAAATTACATTTCATTAAGAAAAATATTTGATATAAATGCATTAGATTGTGGATATGTGATAAATTAACATTTAAATTAATAAATATGTGATAAACATGCTTTAGTTTATGGGTAGGTTAATGAGCATTAATGATCCTAAGGAGATTAATTAATTAATGGAATGTGTAGGGTGTAGGGATAGTGAGGTATTATGATTTGTAATGGTATAAAAAGGCTTATGTTGTGTTGTCACCTCTTTTCCTTAGGTCTTGAAAAGAGGAAGTGTTAAGGAAAGACCGAAATGGTTTCAAGAAGTGACATTTGAGGTAGGAACACTTTACTCTACAAACCCATGTTCCATTATGTTATGTTTTGAAGTGTCTGACACTTAGAAATACATAATAAATATTCTCATTATTTGAAGCAATGCATATTAAATGTTTTCATTATTTGATAGTAATGCATAGAAGTTTCTTTCTTTGATAGTATGGCACGTTGATGTTCTTTGAAATGCAATCTTTCATGTAAGCTTACATACTAATCAATGCATATGATTGATATGAGATTGCTACACTACAATTCTATGTTTATATGAAAAGAATGTTTAAATGATTGTACATGTTGAAAGCGGAGTATCAAATATGGTGCAAAAGCACAATACTACTCTTATGAGCAATATGGCTCTTCGGGGCAAAATAGGAAAGAAAGATAAATTGCCAAAAATATGTTTGTATACCTGATTAGTACACTTCTGGTACACCGGTACCGTTGTATATGTTAAAGAATTAAGAAAGCATATTAGAACATTTATATGACACAAAGGGCATGAAATAATGGAAAGGATATGCATATGAACTAGCATGTGACACTTAGCAAAACAACCATAACATTTAATAAACATATAGATGAGTTAATTCACTTTTAGCATATATTTTGATTTTCATTTATGGGTATATGAAATTGTTAGAGTTAGTGTTACCTATTTGAGTTTTAGCTCATTCCCTCATTTTGAGATATTTTCAGGAAAACCCGCTGCTAGGAATGGCTGACCAACCTTGATACACTTATAGTTGTAGACTATGATGCACCGACACACCTCTTAAAGAGGGTATGCAGTGTCGGACACAGACACGCGTCGGACACGGCATGGACACGTGTCCGACACGGCATTGGAGTGTCGGAATTTAAAACATTAAAATTTAAATCGGACACGCGTGTCCGACACGTGTGTCCGGTTATTAAATGATAAAATCGTCCGTTCTATTTAGCGTTTTCGCGAACGAGAAGCCCTATTTTTTCGATCCACGAAAGAAATCTTCGAGGGCGGACCGGGAGAGCTCACAGTCGACGCCAAACGGAGCTCGCTGCCT